CAAGAGCAAATAAGTCAATCCATTGTAATTATTTAATAACTGTGTGATAAATACGTATGCCAGTATGTTATCTAATAACTATATAATTATACCATCGCTTTCATAATTCATATAACTGTGAAATTAAATAATTGTATGTATAATTAGAGGTAACCAAACAACTCTGTAACTATATAATTCTATAGTTATCACATTATTTAATTACTAATTATTAAATAATTGCCTATAGTTAATTGACAGTTTATTGACATAAATTACTGTAATTATTTATAATACTTATAAATGTTTAATAATGAAGGGAGGGAGGGAGGCATTAATGACACGTGCAAATCCCCTTTCTTAGTACGTGCTGTGTACCAGGCACTGTTCTAAGCTCCCATCCTTCAGTCGTTTAATCCTCCAGTAGGTAACATAATTTCCCCCTTTTTACAGATGAAGAAACTGAGGAACAGAAATTTTTTTTGTTTTGTTATTTTTTTTCCATTTATTTTATTGCATTTTAGGTTTTGGGGTACATGTGAAGAACATGCAAGATTGTTGCATAGGTACACACATGGCAGTGTGATTTGCTGCCTTCCTCCCCATCACCTACATCTGGCATCTCTCCCCTTGCTATCTCTCCCCAACTCCCCCCACACCGTCCCTCCCCTATTTCCCCCCAACAGACCCCAGTGTGTAGTGCTTCCCTCCCTGTGTCCATGTGTTCTCACTGGAGGAACAGAAAGTTTAAGTGACACACACAGCTAATGATCCCTGAGCTGGAATGCAAACCCTGGGTCATCTATGATTCCGGCCACTACACACACTTCCCTTGAAAGTTGTGACAAAGGCTCTCCACAGCAAATGCAACCCCTCACCCACCCCGCCCCACCAGCCCCATTCCAGTGTATGCAGCCGTGCCTCCTCTGCCAGCACATGCAGCAGTGCTGAGCCTTCTCCAATCCCCTGAGCCCACCCCTGCACCCAGGCAAGTGGAAAGTGTCAACTAATTAACAACTCGGGGCTGGCTCTGCAGAGCTTAGGTCTCAGCATTCCTCAGAGATCCCAGGCCTCCAGTAGCCCAGGGTCACTGTGAGAGCCATAGATCCCCTTCCCTTCCCAGCGTTTCCGAGATCACCTCCCATGCATGTTGCTTACCTTGAATCCTTTTGCTCTGTCTCTGCTTCTGGGGGAATCCAAACTCGACTCTACCCCACTTTCCAATAACCACAGCTCACACTGATGAGCTAGGAGTCTCTGCCAACCACTGTTCTGGACTGCCTTGATGTGTTAGTGCACTCAAGCCTCACAACAAGTGGTGAAACTGAGGCTTGGGGGGTATGAATAACCCAGCCTCTTTCACCTGGCTACAGGTGGTGGAACTGGAAGTTCAAGCCAGGCATGCCTGGCCCCCTAACCCACGGCGGGCTCTGTGGTTATCTTTCTTGCTCTTACCAAGAAACTGGCCGAGGCTTAGAGATGGAGATGAGGAGGCAAGGAAAGGTGACATTGTATGCCCTGAGGCATGGGCAGATAGGGGCAAACTCCCCACTGGGCTCTCACCAGAGTAGCCAGTTCACTAGAACTAAAAAGCGCCCTGTGCCGGCCCTGGCAGGGAGGTGTCTTTGTAACACGGTGACATGTCAGAGTCCTGCTCCGAGAGGTCTTCAAAATGGACAAGAAAAGGCTACGTTCTGAAGTAGGCAGAGTCGACTGTCATACTCCGAAGACAAAGTGAGGAAAACGCTCACCTGCCTGGGACTGAAGGAAGAGGAGCAGAAAGGAGCCAGGATGCCCAAGGAGAAGGCAGGGGGATAGCAGGCAGGTGGGATGGAAGCAAAGGAGAGGCTCCGGGGCCCCCATGGCAGGTTTAAAGCATGGCTGCAAATTCCTGGACACCTGTTCCTCAAGAAGTGGAGTTTCGGCCCATTCCTCTTGAAACTAGGAGGGCTTGTTTGTCCAGTTGAGTGATGGCTGGGTCACAAATAACCATTCAGCTTTCCCTTTGTCCACGGGACTGCCCTGACACTGCCATATTGTGAGGAAGCCTAAGCTCCATGGAGAGGCCACAAATCAACATTCTCATCAGTATCCCAGCTGTGCCCAGCCTCACCTCTGCCCAGCCCAAGCACCAGACATGTGAATGCAGAAGCTTCCAGGTGGTTCTTTCTGTAGGCCTTCGAGTCACTCTCAACTATTCCCAGCTAAGATTCCAGACACTGCAGAGCAAAGAAAAGCCTAAACCACTGTACCCCATCTAAATTCTGACACACAAAATAAAGTGTTTTTTATACCACTAACTTTAGAAATAGTTTGTTACATAAAAAGAGGAGACTGAAGCCATACCCATCCCTGGTAGACTCCATCCAGACTGAAATTCAGGTAGCTGAACAAAAATAGGAAAGAAACAAGGTACACACTCTCCTCAACCTCTAAGATGTTCCAGTTGGATTCTGATAAAAGACTGAACTCTTGTGGGCACCTCTCATCCACAGACACACCGCAAGGCAAAACAACAAGTCAAATAAGTTTGGGCAACGCTGGATTCAATGAGCTTCTTACCATGAGTGAGACCTTTCCACAGGCCAATGGAAGGAAGCGCTGGAAGGGAAAGCTTGAAATCACATGTGCCCTGGGGTCAGGACGTTTGTGATTCTCCTCCTACTTGTAGGAAGAGCAGCCAGATTTTCCACTGAGAAACCACCACCCCTGCTCTCAGCCCTCTGGGTTGCTAAAATGACAGTCATCAATTACAGATTATTCTTTAGAATTTCTAAACATTTCTGAGTAATTGGGTGCAAAACTTTCTATTACGGAGAGTCTGAATCACGCACAGGAGTCATTTCTTCCTGATGCCCGCAGCTGCTGCTTTGTGGGGAGAAAGTCTCCCTGCAGCGGACATGGATGGCTGCCCGGTGAAGCCCTTTCATGAGGATTTTCCCAGGCTTTCTAGGACCCACCGGATCCTGAGGATGCTTAGACCCAGGGGTCATCATCTCCAGCCTTCTGGATATTACGAGGGCAAGCAAAAATATTGCATCCCAGATGGATTTTGCATATGGTTTTGTTTTGTGTGTGGCTTTTTTGTTTGTTTTGAGATGGAGTCTCACCCTGTCACCCAGGCTAGAGTGCAGTGGCGCAATCTCGGCTCACTGCAACCTCCACCCCACTGGGTTCAAGCAATTCGTGTCTCAGCCTCCCAAGTAGCTGAGATTACAGCTGCCCACCACCATGCCCAGCTAATTTTTGTAAATTTTTTTTTTTTAGTAGAGATGGGGATTCATCATGTTGGACAGGCTGGTTGTAAACTGCTGACCTCAAGTGATACACCCGCCTTGGCCTCCCAAAGTGGAAATTGCAAAATTAATGGACTAAGTGGCAATTGCTCAGAAAGGGATTGTTGAAATACCTTAACTTCTTAAGGCGTGTTTGAAATACGAAAGGCACCAGTGACTTGTTTTTCAGGATGTCCCCTCAGCCAGTCCCTACTGACTTCCCTTCAGGGCCCAGAGCTAACTGGTCAGTGTGGGGTCAGTATCTCAGAAGTCAGTTCACATCCAGGGCCCCCCAGCATTCTCTAGAACCCCCAGTTCTTACAGACACAACCTGTCCTCAAATTCCATCCTCTGCCAATGAAAACCCTCCCCACTCCCCGCCTCTCCCCAAGCTTGCTGCAGGAAGCTGAGTAAGAAGGATCTGTCGCCTGTCTGCATGAGTGCGGAATCTGGGAAGATGACAGACGACATCAGCTTTCCACATTTGGCCCTGAATCCACAGCATGGAGAAGAGCTTGCTTGTAAACAAAACTCCTACTTGCAGTGTAAGGACGTTAGTGTGACTCATGGCGAAGATGCCCAAGAAAGCGAGCCACGGGCCCAGCCGCCGACCTTTTGCGTGGGGTGTTAGCAAGCCCACCAGCTCAAGGACGGCAGCGGGGTCTCGTCATGAAGCCTCCCAGGCTAAGCTGTACTCCTGAGACCCAAATGGCTCTCAGCCAGCCACACGAGCCTGTGCCTCAGTTTCCTCATCTGCAAGCTAGGAATAGGAACAGGGCCAGTCTCACCAGGCTCGTAGGAGGGCAGAGGAGAGTCAGAACAGGCCTGGCCTTGTGGATGAAGCATGCTGGGGAACGTCTCTCCACCTGGGTTGGCCGGCCCTGCGCCTCCCGGAATTGATGGGTTTGGTTCTGTGCTGATGGGTGGGAATGTCCCCCTAGACTGAAGTCATCTCTGTGGTGACCAGGCTGGGTCCCTCATGTCCTTGCTATCTCCTGAGGGCCTAGCACAGGGAGATGTGCTTCCCTGGAAGGACACACGTGCCAGCCACGTTTGACCAGGGAGGCCTCCTGCACATCGCCCGCAGCCGCGCTCCGGAGAGCGATCGGCAGAGGATCCCACCTCCTCACGCCCTTCCGCACACTCATCGCTCAGCTCGCAGAACCCAAACAGGCCCCCATTCGGAATAAAGACATTCTCCAATGTTTCTAGTCCATAGGATCAGTCCAAGTCTCCATTATCTCTTTGCTGTTGTTTTGGGGATAGGTGGAAAAAAATCCTTACAATAGGACCTGCAGGAGGTGGCTCACACCCGTAACCCCAGCACTTTGGGAGGCCAACAGGGGGCAGATCATATGACGCCAGGAATTTGAAACCAACTTGGGCAACATGGTGAAATACCATATCTACGAAAAAAAAAAAAAAAAAAAAACAAAAACAGGCAGATGTGGTAGCACATGCTGTAATCCAGCGACTCGGGAGGCTGAGGCACAAGAATCGCTTGAACCTGGGAGGCAGAAGTTGCGGTGAGCCAAGATCATGCTGCTGCACTCCAGCCTGAGTGAGAGAGCAAGATCTTGTCTCCAAAAAAATCCTTAAAATCTCAGTGCAATAGTGTTTGAATTCAGTGCACTGAATTAACACAGCATATTGCAATACGAACTCCCCCTTTAAAGAACCTAGAATCTGGTGAGAATTACATCGTATTTGACAGTGACTAAAAAATACAGTACACATCAGCTTTAAAAAAAGAGCATTTTATTTTAATAAAGAATTGAGATCAATATACTGTTTTAATGGATACAAAAATAAATATTCATTCAGCATATTAAAGATACGTGCTTTAACATTCATTCAAATTGGAGATCCAAGTATTGTCATCTTGCGAACACTTCAGCAAACAGGTCTGTTATTCTTAAAAATATAATGCTCACTTTGTGGGACGAAAAGGAAAAGCCATGTTCCCTGGTCTTGTCGTGTGTTCACGTGTGAACTCATCCACATCTAAATGACCTCTGGGTCTGACTGTCGCCCTCGCAGGTGTGACTGTCGCCCTCGCAGGTGTGGTGACTGTCACCCTCGCAGGTGTGGTGCTGGAAGAAGGAAATGGGCATTCTCTGGCTTTTCAGATTTTAAACCAGCAACTCTCATGATCACAAATCTGCCATGAGACTTGTCACCATGAGACTTGGGAGATTGGATGAGCTGTCCCCCAAGCCACACCACCTTCCACCTTCTCAGAATGAAGGCTGCTAGGTGAGGCCCCTGCCTGCCCTCTCACTGGGCGGTTCTGAATGTGGGGTGATGCTGACTCAGGCTGGGCTAATGGGGAAAGAGGGACATGGAAAGTAAAATGTTTCTAGTACAAATATGTATATTTGGTTTTTTTTTTTTTTTTTTTTTTTTTGAGACAGAGTCTCACTCCGTCACCAGGCACCAGGCTGGAGTGCAGTGGCGTGACCTCGGCTCACTGCAATCTCCACCTCCCGGGTTCAAGGAATTCTCCTGACTCAGCCTCCTGAGTAGCTGGGACTACAGGCACGTGCCACCACGCCCAGCCAATTTTTCTGTATTTTTAATAGAGATGGGGTTTCACCATGTTGGCCAGGATGGTCTTGATCTCTTGGCCTCATGATCCGCCTGCCTCGGACTCCCAAAGTGTTGGGATTACAGGCATGAACCATCTAGTACAAATATTTTAAACATATGTGAAACCCATTTGGAAAGAAGAAAAGAGGTATCTGGAATGATTTAATGACAAAAATGAAAAAATAAATTTAGTTCTGAGCTTCCTGGCAGCAAAGACCCAGAGGAGAAGGTTTCATTGTCTGAAGATAAGAACACACCCGTTCGCCTGGATATGAACACGTTCCTGCACTGAATTCTAGAAAGAATACCCTTTCTTCTAACAACCCAAGAGTTTTTCTTGCACTCTTTAAAGAGGGGGGGGGAGGGCTTGTATCTAAATAATTTTAAATCTTATTAAAATGCTTAAAAGTAAAAAGATATTTCACATAGAATCAAGCCTATGAAATCATAAATCTATAACTAACAAAAGATAAAGACAAAAACAACCTTGTTTTCAAAAGTTGATTTTCAACCCCAAATTCCTTGACTCGAAGCAGCTTTCCACTAATGTTACTGAATGACAAGTCTTTGGAAATGAGAGTTAGCCGAAAATGCAGAAAGAATCATAGCAACTAATGATAATGAAGGGGAAATGTAGAAAACACCATTTGTAGCCACAGGTCGTGGCTATAGCATCCGGGACATTCAGAGTCAGATCCCACCATCGACATCTGATCGGCAGGGCTGTGCCGCCAACTGTTAAACGTCAGCTCCTCCAAGCATGCGCTTACTGAATTAAGTGCAAAGGAAGGCATCCCGCCCCGGCCAGAGGGATCCACAGCCTTGAACGATGATGAGGGCCACAGGAATAGGGAGATGGGTGCCGGACGCGGGCGGGGCAGGGCGCCCAAGCGACGCACTTAAACGGTGATCTGCTGGTTTTCTCTGAAAAACGGTCTCTGGTGTGAGGCACAGATATCTGGAAACATCCGGAAGACCTGGTCTGGCAGGGACTCCTCGGGGGCCTGTAGGACGGAGCCGGCACCGCAGCTCTTCCCGGCCTCTTCTGCCAGCTGCCGGATGTAGAGCTGCTCGATCTAGACAGAAGGTGCAGAAAGTCGGAGGCGGAGGCTCCAAAGGGGGGTGGGCCCTGTCTTTGACCCCAGCCAGGTCCTCTGATTACCCCAGTGCCACATGAGTCCCAAGTGAATGAGCCAGAACGCCGAGAAAGGGCAGGCAGTACTCCTGCCAAGACTGTCCCATACTCCCCAGTCCTGTCCCAGCTGGGACAGCTAGCACCCAGAATCCCACCATTAGAGATTCATTCCTTGGGCTACATTAAATAAGGGCCAGCAATGGCCTAATCTGTCACTTAGACCTTAAGGCAATGGAACAGGTAGAATCTTTCTGGAGAAGAGATTCAGATTTCAAAAAGAAAAAAGAAAAAGAAAACACATACAGAGATTATGTGCATCCCAGACACCAGAAGATAGCTCGGAGGTGGCAGGAATCCACTTCCCCCATATTGAAGGCCTGACTCCCACACAGGTGGAAACCCCATCCTTGTGGCCTCTTCTTCAGCCCAAAACTTGATCCTGACATGAGGGGGCCAGGAGACCAGGCCGCAGGGCTCACAGCTGCCCACACTTACCTGCACAAGAATGAGTTTGGAGCGCAAGGGGGCCATATCCGGAAACTCTTCCCCAAAGCACAGCACCACCCTGCTGTCGGGAAGCCGGCTCTGGCTGTTGTAGAACTGCTGCAGCTCTGGAATGACAGGGGCAGAGGGGGTTTGCAAGCGAGGCCAGATGACCTCCGACTCCCGCAGCAGCAGGGCTGCGGACCAGGAGGCCCGGGCCTCAGCGGGGCTGATGCAGCATTCAGGCCAGGGCACTAGGGGTCTCAAACTGGTCGCCCTTGGGCCAAATTCCAAGCAAGGAGCTACTGGTGTGGCCATTCCTGGTTGTTGCCAGGGCTGAACAACTCCCTGAGCACAGCCGCCTGAGGCTCCCTCTTATCTTTCTATGTGTGCATTACTCTTACCTGCCTGGCACCTGAGTGTGCAGCCCCTACCTGAAGGCACCCAGGGAGGGCTGCGGTCCTCACCTGATTCTCTGACGGCCAACTCAAAGGGTCTCAAAGTGGGGTCCGGGGACCAGCAATAGTAGCCTCTCCTGGGAGCTCATTAGAAATGTAGAATCTTGGCCCCCGCCTCAGACCCACGGAATCAGAGGTGAGGCAGGCCCAGGAATCTGCATTGTAGGACACCTTTCCATGCTGCTGCTGCTGCCTGCTCAGGGGTGACAGCCCCAGCCTCACACCTCCTCACTAGGGGGACTCCTCAGGGCTTATGCACCTGAGCTCACATACCGGACCGCACCCATCCTTCCAGGCCCCTCCTCTGGGAGCTGTGAAGCTGGGAGGCGGCTGAGACCTGACATTAGCTCAGGCCCGTGCTGCTGCAGGGAGAGGAGCAGAGAGCATGTGGACATGGAGAAGAAAGCAGGCATCCTGACCCTCCAGGAGACACCCAGGCTGTGGTCCTACGCATCCTCCTCGCAGAATAACAAGAGCTGATGGGCAGCATGTCGTGCGTGCGGCTGCCACGCTGAGCACTCACCATGCAGAAAGTCAGCTCATCTCAAAACCTGCACCTAGATCTCCAGAGACCTTGCTCAGGTGCAGGTTCGGGTCCTGTGACTGGAGCAGGGCCTCAGACTCTATATCTCTAGCCAGCTCCCAGGGCAGGGGGCCGTCCTCAGAACATACTCCAGCGTGCATGGGTTAAGTTCCTTAACCCTCCCGACAATCACCCGAGGCGGGTGCTGACTCTACACCCCCACTGTACACACAGGGAAGCTGGACAGAGGAGCACCCCAGGATTGCTCAGCGAGAGACAGCAGAGTGCGATTAAAGGAGCATCTCCTTCCTGTACCTGTGCCCCTCGCTCCTCCCCATCCCTCCATGAGACCACAGGGCTGCCCTGAGCTGCAAACGGCACACAGACAGGAGGCATGATCTCTAAGACGTAAGATGGCACAGACCTCGGAAGAACTGGCTGGTGTCGAAGACCTGGACCATCTCGTCACGCTCCAGCTTGTTGGGTCTGCCCTTGCACACCACGGCATTGCCGCTGCAGAACACCCGGCCCTGGCACAGCCGCCTGACGAACACACCCTGCCGCCTGCTGTACAGCTCCACCCCGCGCTCCAGGTGCCCGAACAGCTTCCGGGTCACCTGCCTCTGTCGCTCGCTGGGGATGGCATCGGCCGGTGGGAAGCGCACCAGCTCCAGGCCCTCGGGCCCGCACAGCTTGGCATTGGGCAGCACCGGCTGGCTCAGGGACAGGAGGCAGCCCTCGGGGCAGGTGGTGGTGGCGTGGCCCACCAGCTTGCCCCCGTAGTAGAAGCTGATCACCATCTGGGAGAACGCTGCGGACAAGAGGGGCACAATGAGGGGGCTGGGGGAGACGCACAGGGTCCCTCCTGCCCAAGTGCGCAGGCCTCACACCCACACGCGTAACTCTGTGTGTCTTGAACCACTTTGATATTCTGGGCAAATCCACGTACTGCTTGTAGATGTAATGTTTTTATAAGCATGAAAAAATACACAGAAGAAGTAAGGAAACCAATGACTCAAAGTATGAACTGCAACAGGGTTCTCTGTGCTTCTTCAGTGACTCTTTACATACAAAGGCTAGGGAAGGTTTGGTAACTGTTGCAATTTACAAGTCAGGCTGAGGGCAAATGATGTTTCCACAACTGTAATTTCTTATGACAATACTTCAGAGGCACTGCTGAGGACACTGTGGTCTGCTGCCTACATTCATAACAAAAGGAGATGCTAAATTTAAACCTGAAGTTAAAGAAAATGAAGACATAATCTTTTCCTCAACAAATTCAGTGTCCTTGGAGTTCCTGGGTTTCAGATTAAGAATCTCTGCAAAACACTTCATCCAAATCTGTTCTCAGGAAAGAGTCTGAAAAACACTGAAACTAAAGCGGGGCTTCCCCAGATGTGGCACACACAGAATGACGGGGCAGGGGTGAGACGTGTAATCCAACGATTATTCCATCTTCGATATTCTCCCAGCTTCTGATCACCTCCAAAAGTAAGGCTCCATCTGCTGCCCGTTCTCTGACACCTAAAACCTGTCACCTCCCTTGTGAATAATGGCACTCAACTTAGGGCTCTAAATTCAGGGCTTTGTCAGAGGTCAAAAAAAATTCAGTGAAAGCCAAATACAATCTTAGTCAATGCCAGCCAGACAGTATTACCTATTTATACCAAGCGGCACAGGTCTTTCTTTACAGGCAATGATAGTGGCTTCTCATTTAAAATAAACTTACGTTTTAAAAAATAAGGAGATTTGAGGGAAAACATGATGCTAGTAACAGTCCAGGCTGTGAAAACCCATCGTGACAGTGGACCTCAAGTGACCAAGGCTTGGAAAACACTAAACTAGGGTAGGAATGCAGATAACATGTAAATGCAGGGGGTATCTGCATTTTAATCACTTTAAACCAAAAGAATTACACATGCTAGCCATGACCTTAGTGGGTTCAGAGCACCTTCTAAGCACCCCAGACTAGCTCAGGGCTGCCTTGCGGAGCCACACAAGTTGGGAGGTGCCCAACTCCATGGCGTCCCTTAGAGCTGTGCAAGGCGCCACATCTGGGAACGCCCTGAGGCCATCTGCATTCCCTGCTGATGCTGCTGGCCACTCAGAACTCCCTGGACCCTCCCAGTGGGCTCTGCTCCCGGCCTTACTGTTTGACATCTGTTCACAGGTCCCATTTCCAGCCACGCTGCAGTTACACAGGTGCTAGAATCATGCAGGGTAGGGGGCCAGAGCTGCAGGAGCTCTGGTCCAACTCACTGACTGACACTTGAAATGGAGGCCTAGATACGGTCCCCCAGGAGGAAACGGCCGTGCTGGTGTCGCTCTTCCCGCTCACCGTCTTCCTCCCACGCCAAGTCTGCAGCATCTGTGCTGCCTGCTGACTCCACGCCCTCCCCTTCCTTTACCCTGGAGCAACTTTCGAACTTTGTTCCAAAAGAATGAAATGCTTCAGGCCACTCTGTCACCCCTTTGGCCCCTTGCCCTGTCATTTCTGGGGCCTTATCTCGGTACCAGCACCTCTCAGTCATGTGAACTGACAGCTTCACCAGGAACAGCTAAGCGCTTCAGAGACGCCTAAGCAGGAGTGTCTTAATGACCACATGCCACAGAACGTCTTATGTTGAGAGAAGGTTCCAGCTGTCGGGCTCATGCCTGACAGTGAGAAGCGACTCACCAAGGGCTGCCCAGGGGAGGCCGGTGGGCCTCCTGCAGCTCTAAGGACCCCACTGCAACCCAGCCCCGCCCTTACAGAGCCACTCACCAGCAAGGACAGCCTTGCTGGGGAACGGCCTGGCCAGAGAGGCAGCAGCAAAGACACCCACGGCAGAGACTCTGCAGCCCGCCTGCATCACGTCTGATGTGCAGTCCCCACGCAGCCACTGCCCAGATGGACAATCTGGGGCAAGCAGCTTCCCCACTCTGTGCCTCAGCTTTGCATTGGCAAAGTGGAGATGAAAGCTGCATCCACCTCACTGGGCTGCGGTGAGGATGATCGGAGCATGTGTGTGTGCTTGGCATGGGTCAGTGCCAGTTAAATCAACTGGGTAACAGGACAAATGCTTATCTACACAGACGAGACCCCTGAAGTTATAAACCATAGCCCGTGGTCCATATAGCACACACCAGGTACTGTGCCCAGGGCTTGGAACCTACCAGCACATTTAGCCCTGTAAGGTGGATTCTTAGTTATTACGCCCATTTTCCAGGTATGGAAACTGAGGCATGGATTTACATAGAGGTTGGGGCAGGGCTGGACAGAGGTGCCAAAGCCCACAGCTTCTAGAAGGACGTTGAGGTTGTTCTGTGCATGGGCAGTGGCTGTGACCCTGCTGGACTAATTCAAGGACATGCTCTCCCCAAATTGTGTCTCTGCATCTCGCGGAGATGGCCCCCGCTCTGTGCCCGGCTACTCTGCGGCCCTCGGACAGCATTGGTCAGCAGACTCTCAGGCCACAGCCCAGTGCTGATGAGCCAAAGCTTGGCCCCATGACTCGGGCCACCCAGAACGGGCTCCTGCGAGCATGGCAGCTGCCAAGCACAAGGAAGCCTCAAGAACAGGCTCCAGCCAGAGGCCACATGAACTGGGCGAGCCCCTGAACTCCCCAGCCTCAGTCTCCTCACCTGTGAAGCAGATTGAGAACAACCCCCAGCTCACAGGGCTGCCAGGAAATAAACAAGAACTCCATGGACAGGGTGTTGTCATCTTGACAGTTGCCCTGCCTGGGTGAGAACCAGCCTCCACAACCCAAAAAGCGCTGTGCCATGCAGACCTCGGCCGGCAAGCTTCTATCCAGGCCGCATTTCCTCCTCTGCCCAGAGGCCCGTCTGATGAGACCAGCTGCTCGCCTCCCACAGAACCAGCCAATGGTGGAAGACCCCGGCTTCCTTGCTCAGAAGATGCTGTCACCATGCCGAGCATCACTTTCTGAAGCAGCTGGCAGAAGTGCAGCCAGGGTCCTTAGCCACTGAGACTGCACACGAAGGCCACCTCTGCCCACTGCAGGCAGGCATGGGGATGGGACCACTGGGGGAAGGCTCCCCGCTCTGTGGCACACAAGCTACGTGATCAGGGCTCCTGAGTCCATGCAACTGGAACAGCCACGCCCAGCTAGAGGTGGCCGGCACGGGGGCCTGAGATAAGGCTCTGAGAGGCTCCATCCTTCCACCTGCAGCCCCTCAAGAGAGGCAGCACTGGGACAGACACCAGCCTGTCCCTCACTCTCCTGCATGGCCTCAAAGAGCACTTTGCTTCTACTTGCTGGTCCAGTCCCAGAAAAGGCTCAAAAGAGGCCACCCGCCTGCTCCCGACCAAACAGTGAGGAGGAGGAATAGGCCCTCGACTTCAGGTCCTGCCTGTCCTGAGAACCCCAAGACCCTGTGTGGGTCACCTGGGCTTTGTCTTCAAACAGTGCCCATGCCCTGTGCTCAGCCCGGAGCACCCCATACCTGAATGGTGCGCGTCATAGGCAGTGTACCCCGTCACCAGTGGCACACCTGTGGGAGAAACAGAAAAGCAAGCTCAGAGCCACCCAGGTGTGGTATGCAGGGAATCACCCCGATCGCTCTTTCTCCAAAAGTCCCTTAAAAGGCTGCACACGGCGCAGCAGAGGCTCCAGGGAGGACAGGCTTCCGCAGGACTCGGTGCTTTTCCCCACCAGAGCAGACAGCCATTGTTTCACAAACACGGAAAACCAGAGGGGCAAGCTTCCTCTATGCTGTGGGATTTCTGGCCATGTGTCAATGTGACACTGTGGGGCCACATTTCCTTCCCACCTCAAGCACCTGCCCCCAAAATATCATTGTACTGCATGCCCACCACCCAGGGCTTATCTCTGGGGCAGAGCCAGCGGGTCCACACTAGCTTTCCCGAAGGTGTTCCTGCAGCCCAGACAGAGGCGCCTTTCCAGGGGCCTCTTACTCGACACCCACAGCCTGGCAACCTTTGAGGACTGCAGGGCCAGCTGCCACCTCCCAGACTCCCACAGGGGATGTGGGGCTGGGGGAGGATACTGAGGGAGGAAGCATATTCACAGGCTGCAGAAGCCTGCCCTGGCGAGGGTGGGGCATTTCTAGCAGCTGGGGGCTCTGAGTGGCTCATCGAAGGACGAATGCCCCATTTAACCCTCACGACCCATGGCACAAGTCCTGGTTTCTCCATTTTATGGATGAATAAACTGAGGCTGAAATAAGATATGCAACTTCCCAGCGTGGGATTCAAACCCAGGGCTCTGTGCAACTTCCTATTCCTGGTCTGAGTTCTCCTCTCCTCCAAATGCTGTGGGCTATCTTTGGTTCTGAGGGGGTCCTTCATGTCGTAACAGACCAGCTGACCTAAGGGAGCACCCAGGGAGGGGAAGCCAGTGTGGCCGACAGCTGCATCTTCCCTCTGCTCTTACACAAGTTCACCAGACCCTCTCCCCTGGACTGTCCCAAGAGCATGGGGAGAGCTGGCATGGACATCACCTAGGGAACAAGCAGCTCACACCCTCCTGGGAGGCAGCAGAGAACAGGGCCAAGGGCACAGCTGGGCTCTGCCCTCATGGTGGAACACCAGGGCCATGGTTCTTCATCTGTGCTGGCTCAGCCACCTTCAATGAGACACGGATCACCATAGCAACAACCTCCCCCCCACTCCGTCCCTTGCTGGTGGAATGCCGTAAACCATTCAGGCTGTGCCTGCTGACAGTTCTGGGGCGCCCACCCTCACCTGTGCTGGGCTGCTGCGCCCACCAGTCTGGAAGGAGCTGGCTCCGACAGGCCTCTGGTGGGGAAGGGCTCCTTTTGATCATCCCCATGTAATCGTCCACAGTAGGCTGCAGAGTCGGGGAGGAGAGGAGAGCAGCTCAGTTACTGAACTCGCACCTGGGGCTCCGGTGTTCGTAAAAATGAACAGTTGGTGTGTAACTAAAACCATATTGTCACCTTTATCTCAGGAGACAAAAGTCAAGCTTCACTTTGCAACCTGAAAGGCCCTAGACCGTAAATCTACCAGGTTTAGCATTCAAACCATGTGGCCAAATTACGAGGTTCTTTGGGGGCCATAATCAGTTTCTTGGCCCTTTCCAGGACCTGCCTGTTGCAGACCCAGCGTTCCAGGTTATCCAACTGCCCCAACGCTCTGCGCACGCAGACAAGCTCTGAGACTCCAGTGAATGGGGATGCTGGCCAAAGGCTGCCATGCTTTCAGCACTCTCGCCCAACAGGCCACACAGAGATGTTCAATCTCTGGCCTGTTTCTTAAAGGAGGCTGATAAATCCAATTATGACATGTTTTGAAATTGCTTTTCTTGTGACCCTGGTGTGGCAATCTGATTAGCTCACTCTCCCAGCTGAGTCAGCAGAAAAGCCTTCTACAGAAAACAGGACATTGGTGGAGGGACACGAAGCCAAGAATTCACTCGGTCGGCTGCCAAAGACCACCCAGAAACTTGGCCACTGCCTCTGCAGAAGAGCAAGGCCATTTTGAGTGGGTTACATTCTGCTACCTTCATTCTGCGGCAGCCAAGCTACTCCTAAGGATTCCATTATTGTTACGTTATTAATAAGAATTTCTGCAGTACTCACACCGCCTTTTGCAAAGGCTGGGTGAGATTATTTTAGCTATGCAAATGTCCACCTTGTAATGCCCATAAAAAGCACAGTTAAGAGGCCAAAGACGGAAGACAATGGCATCCCAGTAGCTGAAATGGGTATACAAAGGCCATGCGTCCCTGCCTAAGGAGACCCCAGTGACACCCCCACTTGTAACCTACTGAGAGTTTATGTGCAATCCAAACATGCTTGGTTATCCAGTTTTCCAACCCATTAAGGAATAAAACCTGCACATTAAAAAGGAAGCAATCAAATAGCCACAAGAGCTGGTACAATGATGCACGCCATCGTGACAAGCACGGGCAGCAAGGAAGGTGTACGTTTTGTTCTCCATGGCCCGCTGGGAAGGCACAGGAATTCATGATGCCATTTACAAGACTGCCATCCAAAACATTCGAATTGTTTGAACAGTTTGGAGCTGGAAGGCACTTCACTGACTCATAACAGACAGGTCAGGCCCAGCGCTAAGGGTAAGGAGGGATCCGATGTGGGGGCGTGACCAGTTAGCAGAAGCCGGCCTGGGGAGGGGGCCTCCAGTCCTTCCATGCCAGCTCTGCACAGGTGAAGGTGCTGCTTCCTGGGAAAGCCCGAGGCTCTGGCTGCAATCACACAGCAAGAATGTTCCCCCTCCCTGCCAGTAGACATGAGACTCCTACCGGCAGGGCTAGACCCCTGAAATGCTGCCTCTGCTTACCTCCTTGATCAGCTCTTCGATGTCAGAGCGACCACACTCCATCTCTGTGACTTCATTCATGCAGCCGGCAGCTGCCACGCCTAGTTTGCCTGCAGAAAACCAGACAAACACCATGACATGAGGCATCACAACCTTCGCTGCAGTCACGATCCACATTGTAAATGCTGAGTTTAAGGAAACATTAAGTTAGTGTCTTTGTTGGTTTGGGAAGGCACAGATTTTTTTTTTTTTCCCATGCTTCAGTCATCTGATCAGCAAAGTCAAAAGAGAGAAGTTGGTGGTGGCGCTGGTTGTTTCTGCTAACGCTGAAACAATAAAGACAGCACTTCGGTCTCTTTCTTCTATTTTCTGAGATCCAAAATGAATCTGTATCAGATATGCTTTACGCCAAGCGTTTGCTAACCTATAAAGGTTACCTTTACAAGCCAGGGCATTTGAAAACACTCAGATTTCCTGCCAAAATGTGTTGTTGGCAGGTTGCGGTCTTTTTTTGTATCGCCAGTTGGCAGGAAATCTCTTTTTGGCCTTTCCAAATATACACGTGTGCATCAGTGCACACAGCCATGTACACACACACCACATCACAGACACTCACTGCTGCCCGGTGGGCACCAGCCATAATCACAGACCGCCTAAAAGTACGCAGCACCCACAGAGGCAGACTGGGCCAGCCCCTGCTCTTTCCCATCTCCTGTCTCTTCCTCAGTGAACAACTTACCTTACGAAGTTAATGAGTGTGAGACATGTCACAACCAACAAACACTTATGAAAATTCCTTATTCCCAGTGACCTACAGAATTTACCCACTGTTTCCTCCTGGCTGAATTTTGATTCCATTTCAATAGATTGAAGAATTCACTGAGATGCCACTGATGGGGAAGTAGGGAGCAGGTGGGGCGCCCGCCATGGAGCTTGCAAACCACTGAAGTTCAGAGGAGACTGGGCCCATGCAGGCAATTATGCAAATGCCACCTTGCTTTGCCCCTGAGAACCTCCTGCGGCTTCTTGAATGTCACTAGCAGGTGATGCTGGCTGCACCCCGGGCTATAAACAAGTCGGGGTCACCTGCCGCTTCAAGCCTGACTAATCTTGGGGGGTGGGGACCAAAAGAAACTTCTCTATTCCTTCAAATCACAATGTACTTTTTGGTGTCAAAAATTGTCCAAAACTGGGAAATGAGGTAGAAAGATGACTACTTAGCTTGTAAGGGCCAGAATATTATATAGACGTTTCCTCCTAAAGGGCACCTGATTCTCCAAGGGAAGATCAGTTTGTTGGCCTTACTGTTTAGCATTGATTGGGGTTCAGGCTCAGAAGAGTCGGGTGCTAACTGCAGATGATTGGGCTATGAACATCCCAAACCACAGTTGGGCTGTCTGGGCCGGTCATGTGCTTCGGCTCAGCTTTCTCGTTCTTGGGCCGCGTCCACCAGCACCTCGGATTCCCTGTCCGGCGTCTTAACCATCATGCTGCCTCCCTCATAAGGATCAAACAGCTCTCTGACATTTGAGTCACAATTTCAAATCTTTTTTAATTCTAAGTCAACACCCTCACAGTGGGAAGGGTGCAAACTTCAAACTTCTGCACAGCCCCAAGAAGTTTTGGGGGGGTCTGTTTCTTACAGGCATCCGTCGACTACTCAGAAGCTGAAAAAGGAGAAAGGGCATGCCAATATTCTGAAGTACCCATCGAGTGGCTAAGAAAATCAATGTGTTAGAAGCGTGTTCTAAACCAGTGCTGGTAATTAGGTTTTATCCTGTAAATCGGCTACGGTTCATAGCGGCTGCACAGCACAGGGCTTGGAGAAGGATCCTGAGGCCAGATCCCAGCTCAGTACTTTGAGATTGATTAGTGATATAGGACCAGGGAACCACATGTTTTTGCTGTCCTGCTTTAATCCATCACTAATGCTTTCCTGGGATTGGAGAGCTGGAAGAGACCTCGGGAATGATTGCGTCCCAGGGTTCCCGAATAACCATCGGGATCTAACAGCACAATGACGCATATCCCATCTCCAGCAAGGAAGCCCGCGGAACCATCTTCTACTTCAACCCTCATGAACCAGCCCTTCTGTGGCCACCATATTTTCTCCTACTCTCCTCTGTGAGCTGCTGGAAAATGAAACTGCTGGAATGTGCTTCCGTCTGTCCAGGAAGGCCCTACTTGTGTCTGTGGTCTGGCAGCAAGTGAGGTGCAGGCTGGACTGCGCCCAATCTCCTGCGCCGTTCCCTCCAACCTCACTGCCGCACCTTCACCTGCAGCCACCACTTGGACGGCAGACAGTGTATGAAGTCACTGAAAAGAGCTCTCAATCTCTGCTTACGCAAAGAAGAGCGCTACTTTGTTTAACTAAAACCATGTGCCCCAGACCCTGTGTCTACCCCAGACCCAAGTTCTGTGGCTGCAGGCCAGAGCAACTTCTGGAAGGTTTCGTGCCCATAAAGGATAGTTACATTTTTGCTCTTCCTCAGGGACGATTCGGTAAACTTTGTAAGGCTCGGAAATGTCCAGCTGGGACCGGTCCGTCACTTCCTCAAAATCTGGGCTCTTATTCAAAGCACAGCGTAACCTCGTCTTCCAAGTGGCTGGTTCAGCTTTGTCTCCTTCTTTAAACTTCCCTTTAAAAACTGCCCAGGCCTGAAGAAAGAAACAGAAACATGTTAAATTCGTGGCCGATTAAAATCACAAATATTCGTAACCATGACCAGGACCCCACACATACTTCGCTTCCCATGAGTCTTTGTTGACCGTCAACTCTCATTCAATTTCAGGACCCAAAGAGACTCCAGTCAGATGTCTTAGGCCAGGGTGGGGGTCCCCCAGGTTCACACAGCTGAGTCAGAAGTGGAACCCAGGCCCAAGGTTCCTCCAACACACACCCCTCAAGTGTACCTTTCAGCCAAGCCCGTCCCGGGATGAAGAGACACCTGAAGTTTATACAGCACAAAGAGGAAGTTGCATGTGGTTTCACCAGAGCATTGAAAACAAGGAACAAGTCTTATTCAGATCAACCTCTAAAATTTGGCATGAAAAGGGAACATTTGCGAAAAGTCAAAATGGTCATCCGTCACCCTGTTACTTCTAATAGAAATTTTGTTTTACATTTTCGTGCTTATGCTAGACTTTCCCCCCAGGTGCTATTTAAAATATAACGAGATATTTTCCCTTCATTGTTTCTTTTTTAAAATAGATCTGTTTTCAGACTTCTCCAAACCTTAGAATCTGAACTGGGACAGAAACTCAAAGCGGAAATCTTAAGGTCATAATGTAGAATGGAGCAGTATGGATTCTTAAAAAATAATAAGACAAGCGAACGGGCAGATTTTAAGATGGCAACATTGGAATACAGACAGACCAACTGGGAGGTAACCACAGTCAGGTGAGAAGTATCTTTGGTGTCAGGAAAAATCAGACAGTGTCCTCCAGCCTGCAGTAACAGGAGATCTGTAGGGAACTCCCAATCCCATTCAGGCAAATGCAACTCCAAGAGGTAAATAACTTTCCCAAGGTCATCCAGTCTGGGATTAAATGTCACTATATCCACTTCCAACCCAACAGTTTTTCCATCACAGCAAGTGTTCTCAGGCTTAATGCGTATACCAACCCCTGCCCCTGGGAAGCTTGTGAAAATGCAGATTCCTGGGCCTTGCCCCTCAAAATTCCCATTGGGGAAGGGGGGTTGGGTCTAGGAAACTGTCTTTAGCCAGTATCCCACAGATTCGGATTTAGCTGGCCAGGAGACCACACTTCCAGAAACCCCATCATCCCCCCGTGAGTCACGGCTCCTTTAGCCCGGCTGCTTTTCCTCTCCAAAACAAGAATGCTTATTGCTCAAGGACAAGGCAGTCTGTTCTGTTGATGCAAAATGTCGCACCTCTACCTGGGGTAAAGAAACTGGAAGAACATTCCTATTAGTGAGCATAAGTGGTAGTTTCCTTACATGACATTGACGTAAAATTCCCCTCAAAAAATGCTCCTTAAATCCGCGGTCTTCCATTCTCTCCTTCGTTAACTGCATCACTGACCACGCATTAATCTGAGTTGTGTTGCTGTTGCTTTAGTACATGCAAACCGTTTACTAAATGAACCGCAGTTTCAAATTTTTATTACTTCAAATCGGGGTTCCCCACCTTGGCAAGCCTGACATGTCAGCTGGGACCCTTCTTTGTGAAGGGGGGTCCTGTAGATTGCAGAACATTCAGCGGCCTCCCTAGTCTTGACCCACCAGATGCCAATAGCAACCCTCCCCCAGCTGTGACAACCAAAAATGTCTCCAAACACGGCCAAGTGCTCCCTGGGGGGTAAACTCATGACACCTCCCCCATCTGAGAACCACGGGGTTAACCCACATCCCAAATGGGCCTTGAAAGGCACAAATTTCATGGCAATGTTGTGATCAGCTGGTACACATACACAACTGCGGGGCCTGCGAGGCACTGCCATATTCACTCGTTCATGCCAAGCTTACACTCACCCCGCGAGCATAGCTGGGGTACATCGTCCAATCACAGCAGGGCTCATGGCCAGGAAGCATCCAGGGCCGCCATCAAGTACCTGGCTTGCAGCCTGCCCGGAGCCCTGTGACACACGCAGGCACCTGGTTCTCTCCTGGCCTCTCTGGCCAGCACTAAAAGGCAACTTAGCCAGATGATCTCTTGAGATCCTTCTGGAGCTACAGCAAAAACTAGACATGAAAGTGATCTCAGGAACCCCACCACCCCGCCCCACTGCCAGCAACAGTCAGTATGGCTGATTCAGCCCCCACCATCACTTCTTTCTCCTGTGGACGCACGGCTCGTGCTGACAGCATTAAACTCGGACCAGGAGGTCTTCCTAATTTAACATCATTGTTTCCTACTGTGTTTTTTAAATTAAATGCTATTTTTTTTCCCTTCAAGGCCTGCTGAATTTGAAATATTTGTGCTACTAAGTGAGTTTAACTCACTCAGGCCTGTTAGAGTTCCTGGAAAGACCGTGAATCTTAACCTCCACATAACCAGACTTTCCCCGTCATCGGTCATCATCGTGTCAAGGAGATAAAGTACTTTTTAAAAGCTGAATGAGTTGGTATCAGTGTACTCAGGGCTGGCACAAAATGAGCTCAATGTGTTTTCAATTTCTCACCCGTGATCTACACCATGAGGCCGGCCTCAGGATGACGCCTGCAGACGAGAGATTTCCTGGTATAAGTGGCCTCTTTTATCATCCACTTATCACGGAAGAAACCAAACTCATAGATTTCTCTCAACTCCTAAATCGTTGAAAGGTTTTCATTGAACATTTGAAATAAGTGTCTACATAACCAGAAAACCCCTGAGATGGCTCTATCTGACCGAGGTTGACCATCCAACAGCCAAAGATGTATCCGGCCAACGTCACACAGGCAAAACTCTCAGAGTGGATGGGAACAAGCACAGCTCAGGGGCACACCGGAGGGGCTCCTGCTGGCACCATGTCTCCACGGGCACTGATGGCCATCCCGATGGCCTCCCTGCTCCAGCCGGCACCCGCATCTCCCTCCTGGCCCCATTCCTGCTGAGATTGTAGACTCATTTCAGATTGCCACATCGGGCGACTGCGTAACCAACGGAAACATTGGGAATCTTGCACATTTTTCTCAATGCTGTTGAAACGGCCATGAAGAACATTGCATAAGATGTATAAATCTGGGGCTTTATTTCATTACCCCCACAGCATAAGTTGAAGCAGGGAATGGGGTGAAGGGAAAAGCTTGATCCCTGTCAGCAAGCCACATGCCAGGGCTACACAGCCTAGTCCACACCCTCGGTCATGCCTTAAAGATGTTTTATGATGTCCAACCTGCAACTGTGCCCTCGGCACCCAACATGTCCAGTTAAGTCTGTTGGTCCTGGTAGTGGCCAGCTCTTATCAGGGTTCTCAGTGGGGAGGGGAAGACTCTGCCCCCCAGGAAACACTTGGCAATGTCCAAGACATTTTTTATTGTGACAGTAGAGGAGGGCATGCTACTGGCATCTGGTGGATAGAGGCCAGGGTTGCCCCTAAACATCCCGCAAGGCATAGGGAACCCCGACAACAAAGAATTGCCCAGACCCAGGCATCAACAGTGATGAGGTAGAGAAACTCCAGCTTTGGGGTTATCTCTAACACAGAATTCCCAACCAACTGGATGGGACTTTCACATTGTTTAAATTTGCAGTTCTTGCCAAGAGAAGCTCACCATGATGTCAAAGGCAAAAAAAGAAAAAGAAAGAAAGAAAGCTACAGTCAAACAAGAGAGAAATCCACAATGGCTGTGAGGGAGCAGAAGCAGACACTGGCATTGCAAAGCTTCTTGGTGCCCAGGCTCCCTGACCTGGGGTCCTCAATTAGAAAGAGTCTGGAGGGTGTGGGGGCACCAAGGGAACCCTCGAAGGTGAGTGCAAAGCATTCCCTTGGGCCCATTTTCCTTGGAGTGGTCAGTAATGGGCATCAGATTCTCTAGAAGATAGCAACCCCAAACTGCAGATTTAACAGAATTGCAGAAATGCACAGTCCTACTGCAAACATCGGTCAGGGCAAAGACGTGAAGGACAAAATGCATCTTAAGCTACCTTTGACCTATTTATGGTCCACTCTGGGGTAAAGGTGTGATCTTTTGTCATTTGTGTTCTCTGGTGTCAGAGACAGTCATCTGTGGCTGGCGTCCAGCGCTGTCGCGGGGCTCTGCAGCCTTGACCCCTACAACTTCTCTGCGGCCTCAGGTCTGATTCTGGCCCCTCACAACCCAGTGCCCTTTGCTCGTCTCCCACACTCACTCTCCCCTCCCCATCCCTGGGCCCCAAATGCAAGAGAATAAGCTCACAGGGCAATGGCTTATAACTGCGGCTATGACTCGGACTACGTGTGGTGTCACATTTGCAAATGTGGAGGTCTAGGCTGACCTTGACCTAGGGCTCTGAATCTCTCAGAGGTAAAACCTGGACATCTGGAGACTTAGAGATGCCCACACAGGACTCTGATGAGCCACAAGGGACTTGACAGCCCAGCTGGTCTGCAGAGCCGGGCTCCCCCCACTCCTGATTTCTGTGTCTGAATCTAGGTGTAAATGGCAAGAAATCTCTGTTTATCAGCTATTCTGGGGTTAGGACCAAAGGCTCACAGTTGGGCCATCTGCATTTGAATGCTGGCTCCATCAGACAAGAGCTGTGAGACCTCAAGTCACTTCTCCTCTCACTGCTTCTATAGAACGAGGTGGAAAACAAGCCATGGGCCAGGCCTGGCACAGAACAAACGCTCCATCACGTCTCTCCACACATGGGAGACCGGTTACTCTCAAGGGAGCTGAGACTAATTTTAGACATCTGCTGCAGGTTCACAGCCCCCCACATGACCCAGCCCCCAAAGGAATGACAGGTGGCATCTCAGCCTCCTGAGCTGGCCCTACAACTCCAGGTAGAAGTCCCAGCTTTGAAGGAACAAGGGCTGAAACCTTCCCTGGTAGATGTATCACCTCTAAAAGAAGCCCACGGGGAAAAGTCTTAGCGTGAAGGTCTCCAGTCTTTTCTCCCACTGGGCTCATGAGGAAAAGGAAGAGGCAGAAAAGGTAAGAAAAGAGCCTTCAATCTCATCGTCAGAATTCAAGTGACCACAGAACGACTCCCTAATTCCAGACACATGAAATCAGCTCATGTACATTTTTGAGACACATTCAGCACTCCTGAACCAATGTTTGCTTTTTAAAAAGTGGCTTAATTTTTAAGTAAATGACAAAGACATCACTCAACATCTCCAGCAGTCCACGAGGGAAAAGGGACACCGTGCCCCCAGGCGGGGGCGGGGGAAGCTGGGGTCTTCACCTTGAAAATGGAAGCATCCACCTCCTGATTATAATCTTGCTTGCCAGCGTGTTTCCAAGGGATCCGGAACATGCTCTTCTCGTCATTCTCCCAAATCAGTCCTGGATACATGCTACTGTCAATCTGCTCGATCAGCCACTGTCGGAGCCGCCGACCGCCATTCCGGTCACACATCCTTGGAAAGACAGAAACACACACTGTGATGTTACGGACACTGTCTCATTCATCATAGCAACCTAAGAACTGCTCACAGGAAACTCAGAGGTTTGCAGCAAAGGTGATGGCTTGGGGGAAACCCACACATCCAGGGACTCTGGGCTACCTGCCATGAGAAAGCAATGCTGGTCTCCATGACCTCACAGCCCTAAATGAAAACTGAAAGCTTCATGGGAAACCTGAAGCCACCAGCAGCCCCATGCAGGCCCCTCCCACCATGCTGCCTGTGCCCCTTCCAGCGTTCACGGACCTTTCCTTTCAGGCAGACACGGCCACAGTAAACAGCTCCAGTTTTAGCATGAGACTGGGAGGGAAGGGGGAATCGCCTTTTTTTTTTTTTTAATGGAGTCTTACCCTGTCACCAGGCTGGAGGGCAGTGGCAGGATCTCAGCTCACTGAAACCTCTGCCTACCAGGTTCAAGCGATTCTCCTGCCTCAGCCTGCAGAGCAGCTGGGACTACAGGCGTATACCACCACGTCCAGCTAACTTTTTGTATTTTTAGTAGAGACGGGGTTTCACCACATTGGCCAGGATGGTCTCGATCTCTTGACCTCGTGGTCTGCCCACCTCTGCCTCCCAAAGTGCTAGGATTACACGTGTGAGCCACCGCGCCCGGCCGGGAGAATCACTTTTACAGCATCAGATTCCTTCACTGAGCAGCCCATTATCCTGGGAACCAACTGGGTTATCAGATGCCCAGCTGGCCCCATATTCCCTGACAGAATACAGTATCTGTGCCATCTAAGAAAGAGGAGGCCCTCGGGCTAGCCCGTCTAAACAGCTGTCCCTTCCCAGTGATAAGAGCAGGGGTTTGAGAATGAGATAGAACTCCGATCTTATTCAAGTCTCACCACTGCTCAGCTGGGAGATCTCGGATCTCATTTAACCTCGGGGCATCAGCTACTGGTCCCAGAAGAAACTCAGGAAACTACTGGTACTGGGTGCAGCGAGAATTCAGATGGTACACAGAAGGCAACTGAGACAGACCCCGGACCTTCCATGCCATAGGTCATTACCATCTAAACTTCCTTCCTGGACAACTCCTAAGACCAACTGAGAGATGGGGACAAGAGTGAGAAAATGAACTTCAGCTACAGAATAGGACAAAGTTCACTGGGGTCCTTTTCCAGAAGATGTCACGCTCTAGGGACCCAACCACCCCAGGGCACCCAAAGACATCCTTTGGAAGGTCATTCTTACCCAGGCAGACAGCTTCCTCACAGCACAGAGAAAGAGAGAGAGAACTAACATGACCTAGCGACTCAGAGCCAGCATTTACAAGAACAGTGCTGGAAATCCCCAGACAGCTGGATAGACGCCCACCCAAGAAAAAAATAGCATTTCTATTCTTCTGATGAAAATGTGACCTCTTTGGGCAAGTGAATTTGAAACCATTGGCAGTGACAACACATAACTTTCAAAATACGGTAGAACCCTGCTGGTCCAGAAAGCAAAATATCAAACAGAACCTTTGCAAGAAGAACACATTCTGGAAACTCCAGCCACTCTGCAGGTGGCTGTGAGATGGGAAGAGGGGCCAGGTCTCAGGGAGGAGGCAGGATCCCTTAAATTCTCCATCCAACAACCTCAGTTGTGCATTTATGGATTTAAAAGAAGGTGAATTTATTTTTATTTTTTTTTATTTTAGAGACAAGGTCTTGCTCTGTCACCCAGGCAGGAGTGCAGCGGTGCCATCATAGCTCGTGGCAGCCTGAAACTACTAGGTCCTCCTGCCTCAGCCCCTTGAGTAGCTGGGACTACAGACATGTGCCACCACACTCAGATTTTTTTTTTTTATTTTTTAGAGACAGGGTCTCAATATGTTGCCCAGGCTGGTCTTGAACTTTTGACCTCAAGTGATCCTCCCACCTCAGCTTCCCAAAGTGCTGGGATTACAGATGTGAGCCACTGTGCCCATCCAAATTAGACCTTGGTTTGAAAACTCTGAACCCTGGCAAAGGCTTTTCTCTAACTAGACCTTGGGAAGTCGCTTGAACCTCTCTCGGAGGCTTCCTCAGCTGTAAGTTGAGAGAATGTATCTCAAGAAACCCAGAATTCTAAAGCAGGCCATTATGTTTATCATAAAGAAGGGACAGACTTGGGAGAGGGTACCTGAGAAGAGCAATGGAACCCCGCTAGCCAGGACCCCCCAGAAAACAACTTAGCAGGTGTCTCCTGGGACAAGTTAGAAAAATTTCTGCTAGCTTGAGGAATGAGCTGCATAGAGGAAGATGAGCTGGCCAGAACACAAGAGAGGGGTTGGCATCCGAGAATCTCAATTAAATGAGACATTTCCCTTCATCTCCTTGCTACAAGGTTCTTCAACTAGAATCCACAGTCCCTGAGCCTCCTGCAACCAAAAGCGAAATTTCGTTAATACAGGCATTTTTCTAGAAAGAGGGTCAACACTTTCTCATCAAGATTCCTAACGGATTCATAATCTCTAAACTGTTCAGGACAACTGTCCTGGTGATTCACAGGAAAAAGAAATTTTAAAAGGTAAAAGAGAAGAGTGAATTATAGCATCTGAAAGCTGGAAAACACTTTAGAAATAATCTAATCCAGTCCCCTCTTTATTCAAGAGAGGAAAAGCTGAGGCCCAGAGAGGCACAGCGAATACCAAGGCAGCCAGGAGGCTGTGTTGGAACCCATGCCACTGCCACAGCCCACCAGCAGCTTATTTCACACATGGTACAGGGGAAAGTTATGGTCACCTTACAAGATCTCTGCACATGTGCAGCCCCGTCTGAGTGTCCTTCATGGTCCCCTCCAGAGATTCTAAGTAACATCAAACGTCTGAGAGATTCTATTACAATTATGATCCATGAGGATTTATTAAACATTAACAAATTAAGTCCACCAAATGCCCAGCCAGGAAAAATTAATAAGTCCAGTCACATGTTTATAACTTCCTCTTGTTGATTTTGAGGTAATCCATTAGCCAAGCCCTATCTGCAGCCCTATAAACGTACCCAGCAGTCAGGCTTTCCAGCTGGGACATAAGAGGCTGTCCCGGGCCCACCTAATCCAGATTGCAGGAGCAGAACCCACCTTCTCCCCCGCCTGGGAGAGCCCCAGGGCACCTGCTTTGGCCCAGCATATCCTCCTCATTAGACCAGAAAGCACCAAAACCATTTCTCTCTCCAGCCCCAACCTTCCCCAAGTGACTGAATCACTCCCAAATCTTTTCATAGCAGAAGCTGCCATAACCCAAAAGGACAAGCTTAGAACTGTCGTTTAACTACTAGCTCTTACCTTTGGTTTAAAAAAGAAAGTAGGGGGCCATCAGCTGGGGGGACTTCTTAACATTTTGGAAAATTCAGCGTCTAGTTTCCATCCATAAAGCCCTTCACAGCTCCGGGTAAGTAACACATCTCACCTTAGGAAAGTCTGTCCTGGGTCTTGGGATTCATTTTACAAACAGTGTTCTTGAAATACATTTTTTCAAACTGTTTTTGTGAGCTGTGGCCCGTATACAGACTCTCTTGCCAAGGATGATTTGGCTGAGATTGAAGCAAAGGACTTCAAGCGCAACTCAGAAATCTTAACTGGCTGTCATTAATCAGAATTTTTGAACCAGTGTGTCCCCTCCTCCACAATCTCGACCCTCAATAACGACTGGTTATTGGGCAGTTCCACAGTTCCGACCCTGCAAGCGTTCTTCCACGTGGTAGAATTTCAGTGGGATGACAGACCGGGTTCAAGATAGGGGTCCCTATTGCCCTTCCTATATGAGTTCTCCTAACGTTTTCCACGTAAACCAGATTTTAAGAAAAATGAGATTTTTAAAAAGGCATCTGTCTACCAATCTTTGGAAGCAGGCAAACAATAATCACCGACTTGGGCGTTCAGATTGGACTTAGGTGGCTGGAAAATAAGCAAAAAGCAGAAGGGCACGGGCGGCCACCGAGCTGCGCCTGGGGACATGATGGCAGTTCCACCCCGATGCCCCGCTGGGCTGGCGTAGGGGACCCCGCGGGAAGGGACCGCGCGGGACGGGGGCGCCCTGCCCACCCAGCGTGCCTACCTGCCTCCGCCTAGCCGCCTGCGTTCCGCGCTCACGGCCCGCGTTCCCACGCTCGCTGCAGAGCTCCAGGCGATGCGCCAGCGGGCGCGCGACTTTAAAAAGTGCAGGGGGCGGGCCCGGAGCGCAGAGCGACGGCCGCACCGACCAGTGGCGTGAGGGAGGGAACGGACGCCGCCCAATCAGCTGGGCTGGCGCGGCCCGCCTTCTTCGAAGTGCCCGGCTTTCCGAGAAATCCCTTTCCCGAGCGGCCGTGCCCGGGGGTTCGGGCCCGTCTGGAGCCGCGGGTGGAGCCTGGCTCTTCACACCTGGGGTCCCGGGACGGCGCTGCAGGGGGGCTTTCCCGGGAATTCCGGGGGGCCCGCGGAATGACCTGGAGGCAGACAGCGCGGGGAGTTCGGCAGTCCGGAGCGAGCCCCCCGCGGTGGGCAGGACCGGGCAGCCCGTGCGGGGCGGCTCGTGAATCCGAATCCGGAACCAGAACCCAGCTGCCCCGCCAGTCTCCGCCTCCGCGAGCGCTGGGTGTGGGGGGGCGGCGCCTGCCGCGCGCGCGTTATTCCGCGGGGACGGGGACCGGGACGCGAAGGCCGTTTCCAGACTGTCCCGTGTCACCCGTGGCCGGAGAACCCCGGCTCCAAATGAAGCCACGGCCCGCTGAGGCCACGAAGGAAACGGGAGTATCGAACGCGCTAGCCGGTGGAAGGTCCCCCGGGACATCTTCAGCATACCTCCTTTTCCCCAGAAAGTGGCAGCGTTAAGACGAGGTCCCCTGTGGGACCAGCTGCTCCTGGGTGTGAACTGACGTTTATTGTAAAACGAAGTGGGGTGGGGAGAACAATACTGGAAAAAAGCAAGCCAGCCCTGGAAACGGAAGAAGAGGCGTTTCCGTGTTCCATCCCAGCGGAGCCCTGGAATCGGGATGGGGGGCGGAATGAGGGTCGCAGTTGGCTTTTTTCGCCCAGTGGAGAATCGCACATCGGGGCTGTTTTTTGCGTTGAGCTTTTCAGGGACCTATGAAAATCATGTTTGAGAGTGAAAATGTTATTGGCTGCACAATACAAAAGTACACTGCAAATTTGAAATTAGTAAATGTTTAAATGAAGGTCCTCAAAACATGTTAACGTTATAATTCTAGGGTATTGATCAGCGTGTCATTATTTTTTGAAACTATATGTTACTTGGTATGAATTCCCTAATGCCATCATTGGCTGGAAGTCATAAGTCATTACAAAGCAAGTTCCCCATTATCACATATTTCAAATAAAACTATTGTTTTAACGCTCACACTATTTAAGAGTATTTAGAGAGTGTGAGTGTTTTTAATGTATTTGCTATGATGTGAGATGGAGCTTCCAAAAATCGGAGGACCTAGGGCCTCAGAAGGTGTTGAAACAGACTCAGTATATGTTTACTCTCATATATTGTTAGCAATCTGCCGTTAAGCCTACACAGATTTGCTTACAAATGCTGCCACTGCACAAAGATGCCTCCACTTAGATAAAGACAAGGGTAAGTGGATATAGGAAAGTGACAGTGGAAGGGCTCCAGCACGTGTCACTGGCAGTAGGTGTCACTATGTACATTACAGGAACTGGCTTGCATTAAAACTGCTCCAGAAACCCCGTATTTTCCACGTGGTGGTTTCTCACTGCCTAGGAACAATTTCTGTTTAGCTCTGCTCTTATTTAATGGGCACTTATGAAGCAGCTACTATGTGCTAGGTAGGGTGCCAAGAACAGGAGACCCAAAGAATGAATGTGATGGCTCATCCTTTAAGACACTCTTGCCCGGGAATATTAGAATCCAGAACCCAGCCTGCACTGCAGTCTCAGCCTGGAGACTTCATGGAGCCTGCCCCTCGGATATTAGGAGGAAAAAAAAATCCTTTAGTGCATGTGTATGTTATTACTTGTTATATTACAGTGTGGTTCTATTCTTTATTCCGTGGAATTATATTTCCCATTGAAAGACCATTTTTCTGGCTGGGCAGGGTGGTTCATGCCTGTAATCCCAGCACTTTGGGAGGCTGAGGCAGGCGGATCACCTGAGGTGAGGAGTTGGAGACCAGCCTGGCCAACATGATGAAACCCCGTCTCTACTAAACATACAAAAAATGTAGCTGGGTGTGGTGGCGCATGCCTGTAGTCCCAGCTACTCGGGAGGCTGAGGCAGGAGAATCACTTGAACCCGGGAGGCTGAGGTTGCAGTGAGCAGAGATGGCACCACTGCACTCCAGCCTGGGCACCACAGCAGGACTCCAGGAAAGGAAAGGAAGGCCATTTTTCTGTGTACACCAGATTTCTGCTTATGTAATGGAAACACAGTTTTCTTAGGTTTCGAAGAGCTTCGTTTCCATTTTAGTCCACTGGAATCTAGCCCATTCTAACAGCTGCGTATATTTTGTTGTATATATTTGCCTTAATTTATGTCAATTACCAAAATTGCTTTGGGTGACCAATTTGACCACCTAAATTGATTATTACCTAATGAGCATATCGAGTGAGCTCAGATCAGCACTCCTGGTCTGGGTAGTGTGTAAATAGGTGTGCACATACGGAAAAATCACCCCATCACTTTTTTTGTCATATAAAATGCCAAAAATGACCACAATGAGGACACCTGGCAATAAATGGTATCTCATGCAATACCATTTATTGCAGCAAAAACATGCAGAGCATGGTCCCAGGTTCTCTGATCACTCCTTCCAGCACCTCACGATCCCGGTAAATTTCCTCCAGTCTCGCAGTGGCTTGCCTGCCCTCCTGCCTCCTCGCCCTTTCCCCGTTGATTCCACTTGGCCACTCTGCCTTTCTGTCTTCAGGGCTTCCCAGTGGCACCTGCACAGGTCTCCTCCTGGCATCTCAAAGTCATAGTCAGCAACCTCGTCTCTTACACATTCCCACAGGAACCCATTTCCATGGCTGGCAGCCTGCCACAGCAGGTTTGGGAGTTAGGCCCCAGTTCAAATCCAAGCTCCCTGAGTCACCAAATGCGTGAGCTTGAGCAGATGACTTAACCTTCCAAAGCCTCGGTCCCCCCGTCTGTGTAATGGCATTGATGGAAGTATTAGGTTAAATTCTGTGACATCACCTATGTTCCACTTCTTGACCTACAGAAGGGCAGTTTACTATGGCTTGACCCAATCATTCCTGCCTCTTAGGATTGGTGGGCATTGAATGGGACAGTATATGTGTGTGTGAGAGGGAGACCTCTTTCCTCCACCTTGCTCATTTGAGCAAGAGGAAGAGGTCAAATCGTCACCCGTGAGAGAAGTCTAGAAAATGGACACAGTGATTTCTTACTCTAGGAGTGACAATTGCAGACCAGTAATAATCTGCCTCTATGAAGGATAGGAAGGGTTCCTCCGATCTGGTCAGCTCCCTGGCTCCCACCACCAGGTCACAGGTGCGTGCTAAACACTGGCTCTCACCTCCTCACTTGTTTTCCTGGCTTTTAGAGACCCTCTCCTCTTCACGGGGTCCCTTTTTCTTTCTCTCCAACCTCCTTAATTCCTACCTTCCTGATCTCCAGAAACCTCCCTGTTCACCCTCCTTCCCATCTGTCTTGCTTGGCCTGAGCTGCCAATCTGTCTGTCTAGTTCTTTCGATGGAGCAGGTGCAGAAGTGATGAAGGAAGGGCTCCTGCCACACCCACCTCAGGACCAAATCCCTGGGAGGCCTTCTGACTCAGACAGCGCCTGCTATGGACCAGACAATGTCCCCCAAATACATGTGTTGAGCCCTAACCCCCAATGTGATGGTATCTGGAGATGGGACCTTCGGAAGGTAATGAAGTTTCCATGAGGGACTAGGGACACCAGGGAGCTTGCTGTCACTCACTCTTTGCCAGTATGAAGAAACAGCGAGAACGCAGCTGCCTGTAAGCCAGGAAGGGAGTCCTCACGGACCATGCTGGCATTCTGATCTCACACTCCCAGCCTCCAGAACAGTGAGAAAATATGTCTGCTGCTTAAGCCACACAAGCCATGAGGTCGTGCAGTGGCAGCCAGGCTGAGGAAGATAACGCCCGCAGGGAGCAGTGAACCCAGCATGACTCTTCCGCTGCGTGTTGCTAATGGAATGCCGGCACCCCTTCTTCATGTCTGACAGCCTCACAAAAGGCCCTCCTCTGTGGCCCTGGCTGTTTTTCCTGATCCTGGGGAAAGGGTGCTCTTTCTCAAGATGGAAACAAGAATGGTGGAAATCCATCCACTGTCACATATAAACTCCTTAGAATGGTGCCTGACACAAAGTAAAAGCTCAGTAAATTATAGTGAAAGATGTTACACTCTTCTTGGCCCGGCTTCTACAGAGACCAAGTCCATGAAGAGCCAAAGTGTATGAGACACATGTGCAGATTTGCCCCTTGGCCAGAGCAGAGACATAAAATGGGTTCAGGTGAGAGAGGAGGTGAGAGCCTTTCCAGCTGCGGGCCCCACCCTCCCTTGACGCTTTCCAAGCCAAGCTTAGCAAGGAGTTCAAGGGTGCTTGCAACAGGTTTACTGAGAGCACAGGTGTCAGCTCACTCCTGAGAACGCCAGATTCACCTGCAGATGGGGCTCTGACTGCTGTCCTGGAAATTAGAAAGGCCCTTGGGTGGTAGCATCAAGTGCCATCTGCTCTGGGAGTAGTGGCACCCCCAGCATGTGCTGGGCAAGGGGCACACATGTGTTTCCCACAGGCCAGAGCTGGGCCACGCTTCAGAGAGCCAGCAGGGGGTCCTGCCCTCCAGGGCCTCCTGGAAAGGCAGGGGATCCTCAGAAGAGAGAGGCTGAAGGCGTGTCCTCAGGCACTGGGGGCTGTATCACAAGTAGCGACTGGAAAAAGATGCCTCAGTTGGAGTGAAGGCAGAAAACAGGCTCCCAGTGGGGAAAGTCGGGGGAGCCCCGAGACTGCCCTGAGTGAAGCTGCTTTAACCATCCTTCTTCCTGTTACTATGGCTTAACCCAATGGTTCCTGCCT